TTGCTCGTTCATGTAGGTTTAGAAAGAGTTATATACGTAAAAACAGGGGACGGGACAACACATCTTTCAACTTTTAACCTCCTTTTAACTTTCCCTCTCCTATAGTGGAGCTCCGAAGGCAAAGCGTACGGCAATAAATTCATTTGTTTGTTGAAAGTTGAAAGATGTGTTGTCCCGTCCCCTGTTTTTACCTATATAACTCTTTCTAAACCTACATCATTACCAACGCGCTCACTAAGAAGTTTGCTCTTTCATCTGGGCATATTTCCCATAAAATGCAAATCGCTAAAGTCGCTGCATTGTTCAAATCAGGAGATGGAAACAGTTTGGGGAACGATCACCATATATCTATACTTCTTGTTTTTTCAAAAGGCTTAGAAAAGATTATGTACTCCAGAATTATAAATTTTCAGCAAGACATGATCTTTTAACACAATGTTAGTTTGGATTTAGAAAACTTAGATCAACCAAGACCGCACTTTTACACCAGGAGACTATACTTGACAGATTAGAAAAAAAGTTAGCAACTGTTGGTGTCTAAAATTTTTAGACTTTAGCAAAGCCTTCACTGTATCAATCACGACATTCTTCTAGACAAATTGTATTCATATGGCTTTCGAGGAGTTTCGTTTTCCTTGTTAAGGTCTTTGCAGTTCCGTCAACAATATGTTTCCGTAAATAATCATAAGTAGGGTTCAGTGTTTTCAGATAATACCGAAAAACTCTGAAAACATCCGCCGGTAAAATTTTGGTCAATTTGGAGTTATCCGATAAACTAACAATTTCGATGTGCCAATCCTCCCCTCCCAAACACACAGACATACATAAAAGTATATTACAATCAATGGTTTGATCAGCGCGTAGAGTCAATGGTCTTGGGAATATGCCAACACACTTCTGTTTCAAATTTCGGTCAGCACAAAACAGGTCATTGCACTTTCGGGTCACTACAAAAGTCACTGTTTATGTTTCCAGTTTGGGTCATAATATTTAAGCTTTAGAGGAAGGAGAGGTTGTGTTTTTGTAAGAGTGAAAGCTGTGGACCATAGAGATTGCATGAAGTGGGGAAGAGGGACATTTGAAACTTCTCTATTACATCATTTACTACACTACCTCACGCGGCCGCGTGAGCTAGTGTGGGGGGAAGCGTGTGTTCAAGCTTCGTTGCAAATCACCATGGTGTCCACTGCTCCGCCAAAACGACTGAAGTAGTTAATCAGGGCATCCTGCATCCTTTCCTTTGGAAGAACCCTGTACGATCGCCTTACACGTCCAGATTTTGACACTAACTTCTTTCGTCTCGGAGGATGCACCACTTCCAACACAGACGACGAGATCAACTGCTCTCCGTCCGAAAGTCAATCCCCACTCACTGTCGCAATCTCACACACAAACAGTCGGACAAGCACTCACGAATATCACCGCAGTGTGCAAGGTCCATCGAGGACTGGTCCTGCTCCAGTGTTCGGCCTTGCATAAGACATGTCCGATCATGAAAGGAAAACAGACAACCTTCGCACTACTTCTTGTCCTCGGCGGAACTGTCCTCGTCGTCCCCATGATTCCGCAATGAGCCTAGGCTCAAGTGTCGGCACAACTAATTGGGGGGACCCGAGACCGTGCAGGGCCCCAACGTAGGTACCGGGGGAGCGGCGAAGAAGCCCGGAGGGCCCAGGAAAGGTTTGAAGGCATGACTCGGGCTCAGGTAGTGGGGAGACCACAGCCCCTGGTGTTGGGCGAGCTTCATTCGCACTGTCATCTGCTTCTCACGTGTTTCGTCGTGCCAACGCTGTGTTGAGGACGTGTGTGGAGATATGGTCGGGGACGTGGGTGTGACTAGTCGTCGATCTTAACGTTGTCGGAAAGAGGGGTGAGCAGAGGGGACCTGTTCTTTGTTTCATTCATGTCGCTTTGCCGGAAAGCTGGCGGACTACCCTTGGCTTCTGTGATGCTGGGCTCAATATCAGTAAACCGGACTGAACTTGCCAAAGTCTGTTTCACTTCCTCAAGGCACGTTTCTGGCGGATTGTTGTATACCAATTCGAAACGAGCTGCAGGAACGTCAAAGGAAGTTGGTCTTGGCATCATCACCGGCACATAAAGAGCTTCAAAATCAAATGATATTGCGGTGTGTCTCCTATGCTGTAGGTCCCCGTACCAGGCGTTCCATCGAACCACAGACCGCTTGGTGCGCTGTAACGTTAATCAGCATGAACTACAAACTCGCCCAGTCAGCAGTCTTATCCGCTTGGACACTTGCTTGATGAACATCCACAGTGCGATGAGCATGAGGAAGATACAGTGGCACATGACGCAGTCTAACTGCACGAATGCCGTGATGACTTGAATACAGCATATTCCAGAGAGCTGCGCCGTGACCTTTCTAGGGGACAGGGCCCCCATTAGCGAAACGTCGCTGTCTGTGTTGTGACACCTCAGCTAAAGCGTGAACAGGATGCAGCGTTGCCCAATGCTGGGCCCGGGACTGCCGGTGCAGTCCGCCCTGGATTCTGGTCTCGCCCCTCGAGGGGGACCTCATGGCGTGAGCAAGACGCGATATGGGTTCGATGCGGTCCCAGCTCTCGGTACCCAAGCTGAGCCGGGACGAGACGTTTACACCCACATATTATTTATTTATTTTCAATAGGAATCACAGCGAAATCAAATTCCGAATTTCGGAGAATTGGGAATCAAACAAAAATAAACTCCGATAAACTCTTAATTTTCGGCAAAAAATTAACTTTGAAAAACACCCTCCAAATTTGACAAAAAATAAACTCCGAAAACATGAAACCCTAGTCATAAGTCATCTTTAGTTGAAATTTCTTGTGAAGTGCCACAAGGCAGCATTCTAGGACCTCTTTTATTTCTTTTTATATTAATGACATAGTTACTATTGGCACCGAAGTCAAATTCTTTATTTATATAGATGATACGGCTATGATAATTTCCGGCACAAATTCTGAAACTGTTATTTCTAAGACAAACAATGTTCTGTGCAAGTTTAAGTTGTGATGCGAAAATAAGTCTCTTGCCTAAATACAGACAAAAGTAAGGCCGTAATATTTCAACTTTATTGAGGTAGTCGGCTTGACTTACACCTTGCTTTGAATTATGGCCCTGGTGTTAATCCTTACACAGATAATGTTAAAACTTTGGGAGTGTTTCTTTCTTATATGTCCTGGAATGATCATGTGCAACACATTCGTAATAAAGTTTCAAGAGAGCAAGTGTGCTAACTAAATATGGGAATATTTTACCCACCAGTGTTAAACTTCAACTTTAAAGGTCCCTTTTGTACGCACATTTATTGTACAACCACCATCTTGTCTGGAGATCTACTGGTTTGACGAATTTAAACACACTTAGTGTTTTACGAAAGAAAGCTATTCGAGCTGTTGCGAATGTCTCTGGGATGTCTCCATCGCTACCTCTTTTTGAAAAATATTCTATAACTGATGTATCGGATATCTACTTTCAGCATTTAATATTCACATACCAAGCTGCAACTTGTGGTAAGCATTAACATTCTTCACATTGTCTGACTTTCGTCCATACATCTCATTGTACCATACCCGTCTCATTCATCCTTGGCGAATTCCTCAATCAAGAACTAATTTTGGACATCAGAGAATCAAGCAAATACTTCCTGAATTGTTGAATCATATCGCATCAATGAGATTCCACATCACTTCACTAAATAAAAGCGACATACCCAAAATTGTAAAAATCTGCGCCTAATTATTTTTGTCTTGTGTGTACAAAATTCTAGTACATCTAACATTATATAAAAGTTTTCATAGTGTACATCTTATTATTTGTTATTTAATTTCTTGACTTTGCAGCCCTCAAGCTGTGCAAACAGCTTTTTTCCTTGGCATCCCCCCATCGTTCAAGGCGGGAATAAAATCAATGCTCAATGTTCAATATCGAGCCCACAAAAATAGTCATTTACAGTAGAGCAAATGAAATGCGAGACAGAAATACGCAGGTGAAGACACAGGTCATTTAGAACGAAAAGCACAATATTAACTTGGACCAACAATGCTTGCACTGATAGAAAAAGGTATTCCTCCCTTCTGCATGTGCAATATGGAAAAGGCTTTGCCTTGGATTGCGGAATCTATAATAATTACATCAGTGTGTTAGAATTCTATGTGAATGATATAGAAAACTTGCGGTGCTGCCTTCTGCAGGTGTGTGATCCAAAGTCACGCATAAGCTACATTGACTCCAGCATGACTGGTGGGGCCCATGACAGCTATGTCTGGAAGCGGTCATCCCCACAATAAGGATGAATGTAGGACGTTCTGCAGTGCCATCGCCAGACACCTGCGTGCTGAATGAACCGAAAGTGTAATGTAGCATCCCGGTTTGCCCTGGGGTGGGTTGTGGCGGAGGCTGCGGACCATCGAGCAGGTTGGTGTTGCAGAGCGCCCTACGTGACCACAGACTGTAGGGTGCAGTGGGGCGCCTGCGCCGCTGACTGGTTTTGGGGCTTCCGCGGTGTCGGCCACGACTCACAATAGGGATTTCCCAGTCGTCCTTCTTTTCCTTTATTTTTTTTTCTCCTTTTGGTGCTGCAGGCTTCTGGCATGGAACCTCGGTCTTTCTGCTCTCACCGGCATCTCTTTCTGAGTGCAAATAAATATTATCATTATCATTATCATCCCTTCGAAGGGCAATGGAAAGCGGCATCCTTCAGCCTGGTGAATTCTGCTAAGTAGGAAATTAAACATTTCACAACTGTATTTGACGGTGGGGTCAATGGTGAGGCCGCCACACTGTGTGTAATACAGGGGTCTTCTATCTTCGGTAATAATTACCAAAACAAAACTAACAAGGAGGTATGTAGACAAATGGTCACCAAACTGTACCTTGCACATCTGTGTGAATCTTTATATTTTTAATTATCGAAGTGAGCTCTTGCCAATAGAAAATATAATCTATTGTTTTCCTTAATCTTCATCCCACTTCATAAATTGGGATACACACTGGGAAATGATCACAAGCAGGCGAAGCATAACATTACAAGTGGCTATGCAGATAACATAATTTAGTCAAAAAGGCTGTCTGAAATTTAGCATTTGCTAAGATTCGTTTACAAATCCCAGCGGTCAGCTCCTTGTAGGCTCGATGAGAAGGGCACTCTGCAAGTTAGATGTAGTAAATACTTTACATACCATCGCAAAATAAATCGCAAAACGCAAGAGAACAAGTGGCACGACACTGTGAAACAATCGGCCTCACTAAGATTGCTAAAGTTAAAGGCAGCTAGAATCCTTTTCTGACACCTTTCATTGAGGTAAAAACCCATAAGGAAGGCAGACCATTACAAGTCAAAGTGGAAGACAAAGGAACTTGGCCACATGTAACAGCAAGGGAAATACAGGAACATGTACCACTTCAAGTTGAAGATCCAATCTAGGTCCATAATTCCGATGAAGTAATTGAATTTTGGAAAAAACACCAGCCCATCACAGCTTTTTCGGTAGAAACGAAAGACATGTTTTACAACATTCCACAGGAAAAAGCAACACAGGCAGTGGAAAAGAGCTTCGACGCTTTCGGCTTCAAGTTTTCAAAACGAGTGCGGAATCAGCATTAGGGATTTGCTAAGTCTCTTACAGACCTATTTAAGTTCTCTAAATGTCACGTTGAAAGATAATGTATACACTCAAAAAGAAGGGATCTGCATAGGGTCCTGCATAGCACCAGCTTTATGTGACCTGTTTATAGTAAAAGGAAACGGAGTTACAGCAGTTTTTCCAGGAGAATGGAGTCAGCAGGTGCTTCCGATATGTTGTCTATTTTTTGGTTTGTTTCCCAATACACCAAATGACAGACACATCATGCTCAAAGATCATGGAGAAGTAATATTTGGACGTGGGCTAGTCGGCGGTGCATAGTTAACATATAGTTAAAACAGAGTTCGCACTGTCATAATTATATATTTACGATCATAAAGAAGTTCCGAGAGGCGCACAAAGGACTTGAATTCACCTCTGAATTACTTGAGGGAGGTAGCCAACAATGCTTGGACATGAACACGACTTTCGAGAACACACAGATATGCTGGGTGTACAAAAACAAGAGGTGAGAAAGGAGTACTGCTGTATGACTCCGGACACACCAAGTTAGTCAAGAAAAGTGTTGGATCAGGACGCATCTGGCAAGCTATACAAAAAATATCATGTCACCACGGAGTCTTAAAAAACCTCGGGAGCCAGACACGCAGACTAAGTGCAAGCGGTTACCCAGAACCCTCACTGGTCGCCGACGCAGAAAAATACATTTCCAATCTCACAGAAAAAGCAAAACCATGGAGCAGATTGTGGACAAAAGGCCACTGGTGGTACTGCCGTACATACACAATTTCTGACATTAAATAAAGATCGCCGAAAATTTTGAAGTTAGGGTGGCATTATCTGCCCCTTTCAAGCTCAAAGGATAATGCAAAGAAGCAAATAAACTGGAGGACGAAACGAAGGGCAAGACATTGTGTCAAACGCAAATTTGTTGAATGTGCTGAAGGGCTGATACACAAGATAGCACTGACGTGCGGCAAATCCTACATCGGGCAGACCGGAAGATGTGTAAACGAACGACTCGGAGAACACAAACAGGCATGCGGTCAACTGCAAGCACCAGGCAACCTAGCCGGGCATTCTACAAAATGCAGCTGCGAAGCTCCGCTAAAGCCACTTTATTTTGGCCAGATCTTAAGATAGGACGACACGCAAAACCATCGAGGCTTTACATATGGTTTCAGAACAACACAAAACGTGCGTCAGCGTGCCATCAACAGCTTTGAAACAAAAAGTAGAGCTACTAAAGAAGGTACCACAGCATGTTGGAACAAAACACAGCTCCTAGGTAAATGCAGCGGAGACTGGCTCACCATCAGGTTCATATGTCTATGGCGGCTATTGCGAACACCACTGAGATCGGAAGCAGAAAAAAGCAAGGCACCAAATAATGGGGTTTTCTAGCCACAATAATTTTTCAAAATATGGTGTGGGGGAGAAAGAGGAGAAAGAAATTAGACTCGTTAGTCTGCGCCATTCATGCACGTTCTGTTTCTTCTATCCTGTTTTAGTTTTAACAATGTGCTGAGCTCAACACATTGTTAAACTTTGACTATTTTCATCATTCTTTGATTAAAAACGAGTCACTGCCCGAATGCTCGCCGAGGCTTTCACTGTCACGAGCTGAAGTTGAGTCGTCTCCAATTGTCATCACAAGCAAAGGGTACGTCCGAATCATCAAGCTTTTCGAACCGGAGACTGAAAACAGTAGTATCCTGTTTACATTACAATTACAACGCGACAACACAAGTTCTGGATTCATGGCATCGCGTTCGAGTATGCTTGGGTCGTGCTAGGTACAATATTTAGGTGCAAGGTGAGAAACATTCAAACCCAATACCGCTGCATGACCCTTTTAAGTTATGCATGTATCATGGGCCCTTCTGATAAGCACATGGCTATTATCTGGAACTTGAAGACAACTCCCCTGAGGAATTACAGGATGTGAATGAGACGGTGGATCTTCCTGAAAAACCGCAAGAGAAACCACCCAAAAAAAAAAGTCCTCCTGCAAGCAGGTGGACCTTCTCATGTTGGTCCTTGAGGAACAAGGGCACAGAGGCAAGATCTTCGTGAAGCAAGAGGAAGGACACACAGGGAAAGGCAGCGTCAGTTTGCAATTGTGCAGGAGTCCAATGATCTGCAGTGGGATTTCCTGCAGTTCCTAAAATCTAAACCCCAAAAGTAAAAAAATGAAAAATGCAAAGAAATAGCCTCCTTTTTATTTGACTTCGGATTGCAAGCGTTGGCATGCAATGCTTTCAGTGATCATTGTCCCGCCTTGAAGCCCAATTACAGACGTTCTGTTCAAGGTGGGAACTTGTTTGGGATGAACGTCCTACCCCCTGGTATTTCCTAAAGGTGGAAGTGAGTTGATGCTGAAATGTGGGTACAAACAGGCGAGGTAAACTCAACACTAAAAGGACTGGTCCAGCAATACCAGCTATTTATAGTTGCTCAAGCTATTTATTTTTTCTCATTGGCAAGCTATACCAAATGTACAACTGTCCGGTCCACTTTTTAGCTGATCAGCTGTATGCTTCAAGTGTGGTTGGTAATTAATTACTGCTATTGTACTAAAAAAGCTGGCAGAGATCTCGGGATGCCTAAGAACCTCAAAGGTACAGCAAGCTTGGAAAAATGCAAACATAATGCTGATCACAAGAAGAGAGATGTTGACACAAAAAGAGATGTGATCACAAAAAGAGAGACCATGGACAACCTGGCAAAACTTCAATTGGTATGTCTAATCCATCCTGACCCTGAGTTAATTGAGCCTCGTATGGCAGTTACAGTGCTCGGAATAGCTGTGGCAGCACTGATTGATACCAGTGAAAGTCTGTCGCTTAGTGGGGCCTACCTGATTGAACGATGCAAAGAGCAGAAAGCTAACCTGCACAAGACTAACGTGCGCCTAGAGCTGGCGTCAGGACCAGAAATGCTCACGAGTCATGCCGTGAGGTTACAGATCGGGTTTAACGAGAAAAAACGTCGTCAGCATTTCGTTTGCTCACGTGGTCTCACGGTACCACTAATTGTGGGGTTGGGGTGTGTGAAACTGCCATGAATCACGCGCAGTCACAGAGACGCAACGAGAAAGTGTGTGATCTGTGCGAAGGGTTCCCACAATCCCCTGCTGCTGGCGCTCTATGTATTTCAACCGGTCCATTGTAGATTCGCTGCGTAAAAAATATGCACGGTGGCTCGCGGCAGCCATTAGCGGTCTGGAGACATGGAAGAGAGAAAAACATTTTTTTTCTTCTTTAAGCCACGAAACAAAAACCAAAATATCCCCTCCAGACATGGTGTACACATTTGTGTACGGGACTTAGCAAATTTATCTACTCTTCAAATGTGGTTTGTACCTCTGAAGACACACTGTGTACAATCATGTACACTCTGTGAAACCAGAGCCATATATTAGGAGTTTGGCCATTCATTGGTATCAATGGGGTGAAAATCGGGGAGCGCTATTGGCCGGAAAGTTGATTGACAGGCCACTCGTCACCAATCAGAAGCCGCAAAACCTCCCCTAGCGGTGGTCGTGAGCGTTACAGGTAAAGCAGGGTTCGGTAAATTCATTTTAGCGTCGCTAGAGTTAGAAAAGTTAAGTGCCTGGTGACTGAAAACTTGGTGCATGTGAGCTTTTCGTCATAGCATTCTTTAATGGTAGAATAAATGAATGTGCACTCGAAACCCTGCCAACCAAATCGAAGAGGACCGAACACGCGGACATGTACGTTTAAATGACGTAAAAAAAAGTTTGTGTAGCCGCGGGAGTTGCGGTCTTGTCTGAAAAATGGGTAGTTCTTGTGCGTTGAAGTGCCGGAACAGAGCTTCCAGGGGAATTAGCTTGTTGAAGCTGCCGGAATCCCGGAGGAGACGGAAACTGTGGCTTTTGAGAATCAAGCGTGGCACGGGGGGGAAACCTCCCAACTGGACGTACCTCTGCGAGGCGAGGTATTGTTCATTGTTAATATTGTGACGCGAACACGATGGACACAAGTGCACTGCGACCAAACCGCGTATTTTGTGATCTTTTCTCTACTGCCGTGGAAGCGTCCTGTGTACTTTCGCTTCACCGCAGAAAGACGAGTGGTTCAGGCCTGTGGCGTCGTGCGATGATGGATTTGTAAGACCGCATATTTTGAAAGCATGAGCCTCTCATCAGCGGAATAACTGTACTATGACTTGAGCCGCTGAATACACAGCTTTGACGTCTACCAAAACGTTATCCGCTGCAGGACCACTTCCAACCCTCCCAGTTCCAGACGAGGTGCTCTGACGACTGGAGGAGACAGAAAGCCACCAGCAGTTCCAAGCTTGTTTCTACATTCTGAAAGTCAAGTGAGTGCGTGTAACGAGGATAAGTGAGATTTTTGTTCCTTTGGTAATTACCAAGATTATGAGAGTAAATTAAAAGCAATAATTGATCTTGTGTTAAGATGTTTTTACTGACATGATTTGAAAGAGGCACAGGTGACCTATAATATTGTGGACTTGGTGTGCTGTTGACATCTCTGTTCCATGCCAGAGACCTTTTTTTAATTTGGAGTGGTCCTTGTGCAAGGGTGCATGAGACACCATCAGTCAGTGTTGCAGCCTGACGCAGCACAAAGCCCCGCCTCATGGAAATGTAAGTCGAAATCCAATAACTCATATTCTGTTGCTTCTGTTAAGTTAATGCATGAGGCATTCGTCACTCTCAGCTGCCTTGCAATGCAGCGACAGCCTCACCAGCTAGGTATGTGTCATGGTTCTTGGTCCAGTGGGTGCTGCCCACCTCACGAGACACCCCAAGCCATGCAAGAACCTAAATACCTGGAATGCGCCTGTCCGTGTCGTATGTGTCTCTTTTTTCGTCCTGTTCGTTCGCGCCTTTTAACTTTTTAATCTAAATACCTCGTGCCTAAATAGCCAAACTTTCCAAGCAACTCTCATTTGCTCTTCACTGCAATGTTAGTATAAATTTTTCACTGCAATGTTAGTATAAAGTAAATTACTTTATGGAAATTTTCCTTTCACAGCTGCGCTCTCCAGGCATTCTGCTGCGGCAAAATGGGCGAAATCCATGATAAGAAGAGTGAACCTCGTCCGTAGGAAAGTAACGCGGACAGCCAGGAAAGTTCCAACTGATTTCGAAGACATCAAGAGCGAGTTTCTAGCAAGAGTTGAAGACGTGGTGCGCGAAAATTAGATTCCGAAAGACATCGTAGTTAACTGGGACCAAACTGGCTCGAAGCTAAGCCTGGTAAGCCACTGGATCTCCACAGGATCTCCACAAATCTCCTTGGTTGGACGTGACAACAAGAGAGTGATTACTGTCCTGATCGCAATAGACTACTTCCATAAAGCCCTGCATGCAACACGGCGCGCGTTGCACTCTGGGAACTAGTTGGCCAGGGAGGAGGGTGGCATGGTTTCGGTTTCGATCGACACGTCGACAAGAGATTGTTTTCTGGTCCCGAGAGCGTCATTTGTGGTCTCTAAACTAACCTAAATGGCCAGACCTCGAAGCTTTAGCACAAGCCCGAGACGTATAGCTTGTCTTAAAACATGCTTGTTTTATTTTTGTACTTGAGCCTTCCTGTTAGCGCTCCAATCGAGGTATGTGGACGAGCCAGTGCTGGGAGTCTCGACGCTGCGAAGCTCGGGTGCTCGGGGATCTTGCTTGTGTACGAACCAACAAGCTGTAGCAAACAATAAGTATGCATACATCGAGCTCGCGCCTTTACATTAGTGTTGTTGATCAGGAAGTTTGTTTGCTTCGTGCGTCCATAGACGAAATATTTCTTTTTGCAACTACTGTTTTTCTTAATGTGCCTGAGTATGCGAGGTAAAACTCGGAGGTGCCATTGAAAAGCTCAATTTGAACACACTACTTACCTCTTATCTGTACTGACCCGCAGCACTGCACGAAGTGAAGTCCCCACCCGCTTGCATTTCACTAATATTCAACATCGCGTATGCGCATAAAGTTATCCTGCAATCATATAAGCACATTCGCGCATACAGACCGTTTTAAGAATGCAAAAGTCGAGCACTTGTGTGACGAATGTCGCACCGTTCGCCGGAAGTGCGTCAGACGGGCATGAACCCCTATGCGGTCCGCATTGGAGTTCATGCCCGTCCGGCGCACGGTGCGACATTCTTCAGACAAGTGCTCGAACGAATTCAAAGCGCATTTGACGGTTGCTAATGGCCATAATATTTGTTATGTGTTTGCTTTCTTCCTGCCTGACTATGCCGAGATAATTTCAGACACACCGTTCCCGGCACAGATCTCGGACGTCAGTAAAAGCTTGTCCAAAAAGGCTTAGCGAGGAGTAGGAAACGCTTGTTAGGGCCTCCGTCGTAGCTAGCCGATCTCAGCGTTTGCGAAAAGTGAATCTTCTATCAGCATAAAATTTGAGTGGGAGATATATGATGTCATGAGGAAGACATCATAGTAACTTTTGTGCAGTAGTGAGGTCGAATTTATTGCGTTTCCTTAAAAGTTCATGCGTAAACGCTGGCCTCAACTTTGATATCCTGTGAGGATGCGGCTTGCTTTTCGCCCAATGAAGTAACAAGAAGCGGACGTTTGGCAAACAAAATGCGTGTAAGGCTCCAGACGAACAAATTTCAGTTGTAGCTCACTGGTACTAGACGGGATTACTGACATTTAGCTCAAAGATGCACTCGTGGGGTGAGGTGACTAAGCCACGACTTACTACGTTCACATACGCACGCACAATATCCGGTGTTTCGGGAACCAAGGAAATTGCCCCGGTCTTTGTTTTGTATCGCTCCAGAATGAGTGTATTGTACGTTCGTGACAAGTCAGATAATCGAAAACACAAGCAGCGCGTTCGGTCGCGGCGTGATAGCATGAGATGGAGCTGCTCAGTCGAAACCGAAACTGAGTGGCCAACTAGTTCCCAGAGTGCACTGCGTGGTATTTCGCCGCAATGGGGCGCGTCGGTTTTGGAAGAAGTCCATTGCACTGGGAGGAGCCGTTCTGCCTCCCCAGATAATCTACACGGGAAAGACAACGAGATGCCGTGTAGCAATTGGTTTTCCAGCCCCCTGGGACATCTCGCATTCCCCAGACCACTTGAGTACTACCAACACGATGCTGCGTTACATAGACGCCATGCTTGTACTATAACTATCTACATTAGTGCGAACACATCTCTGCGTGGCCCGTGGTACTATCAGGGCCTCCTGTCGACAGCTCTTTGAAGTATGCGGAGAGCAAGTTCGTCTGCTTCTTGTGCAGGGGTTGCAGTAACGTCAGAACGCCGAGCTCTGATTGGCTCGAATGAAAAAATAGTGGGTCGCCACGACCCACTATCTAAACGTCGTCTGCTCCTTTGCAACGTCGTCTGCTAATCAACAGCTGTCTTACCTTTACGAACGAGCTCTACTTCACCTTTCAGAGAGGGCAGACGAAATAACTTGAGAGGTAAGATGTGTTCTTGTCTAACAACTAGCAGACACACATCAAGGAGTGAAGCCAAAGGACTCGCGGCCGAGATGGCTGACGCGCCAAGGATTGTTTGCTAAGAACCGAGAACGAGGGAGGTTACCGTCCGCAAGTTCCCTCTTTTCGTGTACGGCGAGACTCCTCACCCTTTAATGGCTTCAGCGGGTTGGCGCGGTTGACGCAGTTTACATCGTCTGCTTTACGTCTGTTAGTCAAAGCAATGGCTGTTTTATCTTTCCTGCGTCTGTCGGAGATTCACCGCTTTTTCACAGACAAGAATGCGGCCTTCGAAAAAGGCGAAGGAAAATACCTTGTAGGATACGTCCTTTCTTTTGAGGCGAAGAGCTTCACTCTAGTAGCGAATATACAGGCGTCGTTTAAGAATTGTAGCTACGCAGTAAAAATGACGCTCTCCGATAAAGGCGACATTTTAGAGAGTCACTGTGAGTGCCTTTGTGGGGCCGCAAAGTGCAGCCCCGTGGTGGCTACTGCACTTTATGAAAAAGTTGTCCTGGAGCCGCGCGCGCGCACCCACAAACTGGAAGGTCATTGAGTTTGTGCATGCGCGCGCTTTCCGCGGCAACGGTCGCGCCCGCGGAGAGAGCCTTTTTATGGTTTTCGCTTTTGTCACCTTATTTTTGCTTTTGTACTGGGTTTGTTTTAGGCGTCGGTTAAAGGCTGCCGGTTTGCTTGGTTCCGAAGTCGAAAAGGAAGCGGGACCCGCTTTCCTTTCAGCTTTCGTCACCTTTGCTCGGTCACAATGGCTTCTTGTGATTTTTCTTTTCTTTTTCTTTTTTTCAATGATTCTCTTCTTTTTTTTTTCCGTTCACGTTGGACCGAAGACTGCAGCGGTCGTGGCTTCGAATTGCGCTTGCTCGGAGGAGGCGGAAACAAGCTACCCGTGAAGCAGTGGATTTTGCTCGACAGTAAAATGAGTCGCAAGTAAGATACCAACCCGAGATTTGAGTTCAGTTAATCTCCTGTCTAGCTTCGCTATACACAGACCAAAAAAAATCACATTTTTAAACTTTTGTGAAACTTTTCGAGCTCGGTACCCGAGTCATGGCCCACCCCACAATTTTTGAGAATTTCAGGCGGTGGTGGGGGGGGGGGGGGGGGGGGGGGCGTTGACTCGGGATATTACGGTATATATTTTATAGCTTTCATAGTTGAACAGTACAGCGCACATATACTGAACTACACAAAGTTAAGCCTCATAAAAAGTCCTACCTCTGGAACACGAAAGTAAAAGAATAAAGGTCTCAGCTGTTCTACAAGGAGTGCGCTCTGGAGAAGGAGCACATGCAAGTACATTCAAATAGAACATACATTGTCGTGGGCTTCGTTCGAAGTAGCAAGGGCCGCCTCCGAGATGTTCTGAGCCTCGTCAATGATCTTGGCAATCTCGTCGTAGGCCAGGGCCGAAGAAGACGTCTGCTGTGTGGAGTTCAGGATTCTGCAAAGGAGTACTCGTTCAGTAGGTACCCTCGTCGTCTCCCACACGGAGCCACGCATAAAAGCATTTGGACGTCCACCAGAACGTCTGGTAATAACAGCAAAACACCCTCGGCCAAATACAATTCAGATATGTCTGCCCATGAATTGGCCAACTACAACCAGAACAGAAATTCTCCAATATTTGTGTTGCTCGCATTAAAGGTTCTAAGCAGGTTGCACACTTAGTGGCCTGAAGTGAATGGTGCTGTCAAAAACTCGCGGATGAAGATGACGCAATACAGTGTCACTGGACGGGGTAAACTGAAAGCCTTGTTTTGGATGACAACCAATTAGCTCGCTAAAATCATGTTTGCCACATTTTTCCTGTTTGGATGTATCAGTTTTCCTCGGACGCTGACACTCTTCGATTGTGGAAAGCTTCACGAGGTGAAGACTAGAATAAATGCCACTTCTAACGAGGGTTAACATGTTTTAGCTCTGTTGAGCATGCACAGGGTAGTCCCAGCTAGAAAAAGTAAAACTTCATGGCCTGCTTGCTCAGCAAGCCACTGTCATGGTAAAAACTTTTGGGGAAATAAATCCTACATGATTATAAATGAAACTTGCTGAAACCGTGCATTTGAAGTTAATAAACCCAAATATAATGTTTCTCATTTTTTATTAAAAAATGTCTTCTAAACACATTTCTTTAAGGGGTTAGGACATGCCGAAAATAAAATGAGATAACTACCGTAAATTCCGAGAGATAGCCCACCTAACATTGAGAGCGGGTGAAAATATAGGAGTGGGCCAACTTTCGGAGTACGATCGAGAAAAGTTTGAAAAAAATTGCTATATTTAGGTTGTGTCCCTTCCAAGCTTTCTTATGGTGGGAGGGACAACAAAGCAAAAATGACTGTACTTCCCAGTCAGCAACGTTCGCTTATACCTCGCCAAAGCTAACCAGCCGCATTTATGCTGAGGCCATCATTGATCCCAACACTACTTGTACTAGACTGGGCTATCTCACGGTGTTTAATAAAACATAGGAAATCAAGCCAAAAGTAGGGGGAGGGCTATTTTTCGGGGGTGGGGCATCTCTCGGAATTTTACGGTATACTGCTATCACACATTGTATCTTCCTATATTTTTTCCAGCATTAGTAGAGATGCACGGAAACTGGAGCTTAAGTTAATGTGTCTTCGTATATCAAATTGACTCCGTAAGTGTGACGTCATGGGTCCAAACAAATCGTTGCTAGGGTCGTTATGGACAAATACATGTGGCTCGGTTTTGCTGCGAAAACTTGAGCGTTCAAAAATCAGGAGTAGGATTCAAACTTCTAAAAATCACATATATACAAAGCTTGAATGTCATATATGTTTCGACAGAAGTGTGCCGGTAATCGCTACTTTCTGAAATATTTACGACTGCAACTTCCGGTCCTTAAGATGCCTGCAGCAGACGACGAATGCAAGAAGTATGCCGTCTGCCACACGCCGGCCGGCGAAGCCGGCGCAGTCGTTTGAATCGCGTGAATAAAGACGATATTCTGATATTGCATTTGTTTGAAATATAATGAGTTTCAGACACTTACAAGAATTCATAGTGGGATAAGATGCAAAATATGGTTTTTCGAAAGTCCTGGCGTCGATCGAGATGATCGTCTGCTCAAAGATCACATTTGCACCCGTGAGAAAAGCACTTCAGGCGATCGGTTGACTTCCCAAATTTTGTTTGAGGACTCGCGCTATGGGAGGGTGCTTCGTACCTGGTTGTAACCATCGCGTGGAGAAAGATTCTTGTAGTTTCTTTAGATTTCCGCAAGACCCCAAAACGCGAAAGTACTGGATAAAAAACATAAGGTGAGTACATGTAGCACTGGCGGACAGTCGCCTTGGTGTAAAAAAAAAGGACCGAACCAACCGAGAGCACGTAAAACCCGTATTCTGTTCGGTCATAATGTCTTAAAATATGGCGCTATATTTATATATTATTACTATAACATTGATAAAGTAGTTGCATGCAAGTAGTAGTGAGAGTAAAATCCAGCTGAAACCTGCAGTAGTCTTACATTGCTATGGTAAAGCAGCGTTAAGAAGTATGCCTGTGTCCATGCGCTATCCGGTTATTTTGTTTATGCTTATATATCTACCTTTGCTGTTGTTTTTTCATTGTGCTCTTCATATGTTCCCCTTTACGGACTAGCTCTTGAATTTAGCATATTTAGTACAAGACTGGTGGATAGCGTTCTCCTTGTTCACCTTTGTTTATATATACTTTTAATTGAGTGTTTTATTTAACTATATATTATTATTATTATTTTATTGAGGAACAACTGCAAGGTTGTTCAGGGGTACAATAAAACGTTGATTGACTATTATTATTTTTTTAGGAGAGCAGACAGCGAGCCGGGGCAACAAGCACGCATTTGCAGTTGCCATTTCAAGGATGGAAAAAAAAGCAAAATGCCAACCATTTTCCCTTGGAATAAGGAAACTCGTTTCGAATTTCCAGAAACCCAATGTGGACGGAGGTGAGGACCTGAATATGCGTTATATTTCATTATAAGGTTAATAACACACAATTAATTTTTTCTATCTCTTTATATTTAACAAATATTGTTTGATGTAGCATATAACCTGTGTGTATGCTTTGCACACATTGTGATTTGCAGGATGCGAACAGAACCCCACACACCACAGCAGGCACACAAACCTACCACGTCAAGAGCTGTACTAGAAGCGGAGAATTACTTCCTGCAGAGAGTATGTGTGCTTTTAATATGTTCTTTAATTGAAAAGATGTCACATCAAACATGCCTCTTTAACATATGAATCATAACCATGATTTTTCATCTGAAGGTTTAAGTTAGCATGCCTACATGCACATATTTTCACATCCAAGACAGTGGCATCAGGAGTTGTGCGGGGAGGGGGTGGAGGGGGGGGGGGTGACAGGGGTGGGGTTGATTGATTCAGCCCCCCTTGCACAATATATCTTACTAGTATTACTTCAAACATCACCAGCTGCTTCAACACGGCAGATTATATAGTATAGCGAACAATGATTGAGAACTAGAAATAAGAGACTTAACTGGGAAAAACTTCAAAGAAGGGTTTGCTCTGATCTTAACTTTTGATGCACTTCAAACTTGAGTCAGTTGCCAAATTAAGATAAATATTTTCTTTTCTCCGGTTTGTATGCTGATTATGACTTGTCAAGGTTCCTCCGCAGATTTTAAGGGAAACCCATGTATATTGGGCACAAAATAGACTGAACTAATCATCAGCGATCATAATTTACTGTCAGCACTACTACATTCACAGAATATTATTATAGCATGCAACTCTGCATTTAAAGTATACATAAACTGAGAAGCGAGCTTACAATTTGACAGCATCAGTTATAGCACACATTTTTCGTTCCATTCAGGTCAGAGGGGGGTTACAAGTCGTACATACTGTAATTTGAGTACATATTTTGCTATGATATATCATATATATTAGGTTCACTAAATTATATTACAGGAGGAAGAGGCTTCCGGGAAAGAACACCAAAGACGGTTCACCTTCAGTTCAATTGAGGAGAAAACCAACCTGGTCGTTCTCTACACGGGGCTGCCACACAAAGATATGTTTTATCTCTTGCTAGAGCTGTGCCAGAGGTTCACCATAAGCTACCATGCGGGATGGCAGGTGCAGTCCATTGAGCTGGCTGACCAGCTATTCATGACTCTCGTCAAGCTGCGCTCGAACACCACCCACCTTGACCTTGCTGTTCGATTCAGCTGCAGCACTGCCACAGTCTCAAATGTGGTGCTCACATGGGTCAACATATTACACAAGGTGCTTTGCGATGGGCTGATGGGCCAGATTCCTTCGGTGAACAAGGCCTGTCTCCCGTCATGTTTTGCCAGCTTCACCAACTGCAGAATCATCCTCGACTGCACAGAGGTTGAAGCTGCTGTCCCAAAGGTATTAAATACAACTGAAGTTTTCAGCTTAGCCATATGAAGGAAATATGTATTATATTCTGCCATATCACACAAATACATTTCATTGCCTTAGTATCGAAGAGCATTCTGCTCTATCTTCCTAGCAGTGAATTTTTAGGTCACGGGCCTCAGGGTGCTGCCTCCGATTTGTTTTTTGGCAATCATTAACTTTATAAACTACAGAAGTAATACAATGTCAAATATAAAATGTCAGAAAAAAAAAACACAAGAAAGAATTGCAGCTGCTACAGGACCTGAACGTACACAGCTCACATACCGTTCAATGTTTCACACATATCACATTCTCCTGCCTGACCTATATTTCTAGCAATTGTTTCGCAACACATGTGTTTTGAGTGCTTGTAATATTGGGTGCCTCAGCCCAAATTTGTAACAGCCTATATGTAGGTGGCAAGAAATGTTGCCAACACATACAGTACTGCCTGAAAGCAGATGCTGTCTTTGCCCAAGTGGTGATGTAACTTGTGAAGAACGTCAAAGTGCGATGATTAATGATAATCTTGTGAGAGACAAGTTTGAAATAGCTAAGTAAATAATTGATGCCATATAAAAACTCAAAACTTTTATAAAACATGTGCATAAATATCTACATGAACTCCTGGAACTTCTGCTTCTCCCAATGCACGCGGAAGCACCGTGAGAAAGCAGCAGTTCGGCTGAGCCTCGATCTGCTGGTTTTCTTGATCATGGTAGATCTCCATCAAAACATAACAAAAATCACACACGTCTTTGCTGCAGTCAAGCGCACTTCCCTCTTAAGAAGCTGGTATATAAGTTCTCAAACCTATGTGTTTCCTCTTAGCCCAGGTTTTCCGAAGAGCACTGAGTGAAATTTTATATTTTATAAATGTAAGATAATCTACCTTAAAATGTATAATTACTTACCCACTTTGTGGCGGAGGGTGTTAAGTATACATGACCCACTCGTGCCACTTCAAGAGATATAATTTGAGTGCTATTGTGTTTCAGGACAGTCTGAGCTAATCTGCTCATTTGTCTTT